AGATCCCGATCTCGGTGATGGTGGTCATGTTCTGGCTTCCAAGGTGACCGAAATACTACCGCCAACACCGAATCGTCTCCACCCTGTGGAGGCAGCCCCGTGTCTCGGTGTTAGTGCCCATTTCCAGGCCTCCAACTCCTGCGTGGATCCCGCGCGCCGCTCCCGCGGTCGCTGGGGTCTCGTGGCTCCTTCGGGCCGTATGGGCTGCTGGCCCGTCCGCTTCGCGTCGTTCTTCGTCGCGGCCCCCCCTTGCTTGCCTTGGAGGGGCAGGCCTCCCTGCTTCTCGAAGACCGACACGTCTGGGGTCGATGCAGCATACCGCTCGCGCGTCCTAGCCAAAGGCGCCTGTGGACACACTGGGTGCCGTGACGTCCATGGACACTTTCGGGGTAGATGCGTCTATGGGCAACGTGGCCGTGGCGTTCGGCGCGGTGCAAGGTGGGAGAAAGGGCAGATCCGTCTGCGGTACGTTCTGCGGTACTCCAACGCCTGCCCTGCGCTGCGAACGCGCACCGCCTTCGCCACTGCTGCGTCGCCTACCCGTCGGGCCACCCCGGCTCGTGGTCTGCCTTTGCAGCTCACCAGTGCAGCCTCCCCTGCTGCCGCACCTGCTCCCGCTCGCGCGACTGGGACCGCTGTTGTCCTCGCAGCTCTGGCCTCGCTCCCCCGACTTGCTGCGCTTCGCCCCGCACGGCAGCCGCTGGACCCACCCCTGTGTGCGGTCGTGATGCCGCACCGCACCCGCTGCCAGGGGCTGCTGCACCAGCTTGGCCGGCCCCGCGCGCCCCGCCCCTTGTCTCATGGGCGCATTTTTCCCAGCACTAATTTAAACGAGTTGTGGGTGGACAACAAACATGATGTCCGCCTGGGCCCCCGACTGGCGCGCAGTGGCGCGCGACCCGCCGCTGGTAGTAACGTGAATGCGTGAGCGTCGCGGCGACGACGGCGACGACGGCGGCGCCTGCGCCGACGACGACGGCGGCAACGGCGACGGCGGCGACGACGAATATCGCGGCGACGGCGGCGACGGGTCCCGGGCCTGCGGGCGAAATTGCGCCCCGCCCTCGTTTCTGGAGTCCCACGCCAGATTTTATGGGAGGAACGCAATATCTGCGCGCAGTTTTACCCCAGCCGTCCCGCCGCTTGACTAAAACTTTCTCATCGCTTCAGTAAAACGTTTGTTGTTCTATATGCATTGAGCGGCGCGCCTTTACTGAAGTCGCCTCCTCGCTTTAGTAAAGCCGCTCCCTCGCTCTAGTAGTGCCGCTTCCTCGCTTTAGTAAAGCCGTTTCCTCGCAGTAGGAAAGTCCGTGGTTTCGTTTAGTAAAGCCCGGAGGATGCGGTGGTGATGCGGGGCCTGGGCCCAAGCGAAGGGCAGGGGGCCCTGTCTTCCCTGCCAGCTCACCCCGCTATGCATTTGCTCGTGTAGTTACGGTCGCGTTGCGCCGGCTCGCGGCGATTTTTGGACATGTGTTCAGCGAGTTGCAGATGCTCCTTGGCACTTGAGTCGAGGCGCGAGCGCAGGACGTGTTTCGGTAATTCGGACGCGCCGCCGCGGCTGTCGCGCAACAGAACAGCAGGACTTAACTAAAATGCTTGCTTATTTTAGCGAATAGCCCCGTCAAAGTAACGCTGTGAATTTTCCCCTTCCAATTGTCGCCCCTCCTCCGCGGCCGTTTTTTGTCCAGTCCTCGCGCATGCGGGCCAATTCGCATACCGTAGCCCGGGTTGCCTGGACGCGCGTGGGGATTGTTTTTTTTTGCCGCGTTGCGACGCAACAGTTGGCGCAGCTTCTCCAGACAGAAAAAAAACACGCGAACACATGGACATACACATCACACATACACATCCACATCCACATTCACCTACACCTACACATACATATACACATACACATACAAACACACACAGACACATACACATGCCCATACACATACACACGCACGCACACACACGCACACGCACGAACGCACACACGCACGCACGCACACACACACACACACACAAAGTACACACATCAATGGCTGTGGAGGGATAATTGGGCCTTCGCCATGCCCTTCCCTGTTTCGTTCTGTCTGCGCTCGGCGCGGCCCTGTACTCCGCCCGCGCAACGTGTCGTCCGCCCGCGCTCCAGACGGTGGAGCGTGGCCAGAACATTTTCGGGCGACGATGGCACGGCTCCCGCGCTCCGTTTCCAATGGCGTCGCCCCCGCACATGCCCGATCTGGAAATGCCTCGGGGGCCCGCGGGACAGGCGCCCGAAAAAAATGCACACAGCCAGAACGCACAAGACATCGGCAAGAGCACGTTTGCAAGGCATGCAAAACGAAGCAGCGGAAACGGCTTGCACGGCCTTCGCTCAGGAAAAGTTGATAGGGACCAGAAGTTGAACCATCCTTTGCCCGACCGCGCCCCCCCCGCCCAAGTGACAGCGCAGACTGCGCAACCCCTGGTGGCAACAGGCGAGGCGTCGGTAAACAAGGCGATGATCTTGGGATCAAGCCACCTACGGTCGGATCCAAACGAGGGGGTACCGAAGAATTGTATGTAACATTAGTTTGTGTGTTTTCCGCTTGTTCCTTACGGCCAGTCTGGTTCGAGAGCAGGCGCAAAAGGATGGGGGGTCTTTAACACTGGGTGTTGGCCAAGGTGTCGTTGGCCCAACGTGTCCCCAATTCCCAACGCATTCTGGGGCATCGGGTGTCGCTTCTGGACCTTGTTTGGGGCCGCAAGGGCCTCCGCGGCAACCCTGGGGACGTGGGCCAGGACCGTTCATGCCAACACCACTCTTCGAGCAGGGGGTCGACTGCAGAGTTGGTTCCCCACAATTGAATCCTCCGTCGCATCAACAAGAAATACGCAGAATGCCACGGAGCAGTCTACGTGTCGCTCTCGGATTGGACGGAACATCAAATTGCGGGGTGAATCGATTCTGCAATCGACCCCCTGCTCGAAGTGTGGTGCTGGCGTGGGTGGTCCTAGCCCAGGTCCCCAGGGCTGCCGCGGAGGCTCTGGCGGCCCCAGTGGCCCCAGACGAAGCCCTGCTCGATCCCCTGCTCGACGACTGGAGCTCTGTCCGTGTCCTTCCACACTGTTGCGATCGTGCTCACGGCGTCGGACCTCGGACTGCGGCGGGGGGCCGCGCGAGGGCCTCTCCTCTACCAGGCCAGGAGAGGGGGGAGGGATCGACCCTGCCCTGAGGAATGCTAAACTCATAGCGCCATGGCCTTGGAGTTCAGATTCCAGCCGAGCTGAGGTTTGACCCAGTTCAGATAAGTCTGTTCCGGAGGGACCGGCCGCACACGAGCAGCGATCTTGGTTGGGCCTATCTTGTTCCCACGGCGTGGGCATAGAACCCCACGAAGCAATCGGTACACCCCTCACCTATCAAGAACCTCTCCTGGCAGCAGAAGACAACTTGAAGGCCGTGCCCATTTGTCGGGGTTCCCCTTCATCGCCCCCCAACATGTCTGTCCGCCGCCTCAGTCGGGCTGGACGAAAGGGTAGGAGAGGGAAAGGAGGGGTTACCAAGCCTGCTTCATGCAGCTTTTTTTCCGCCGCCCTGCCGCCGGGCCCATTCCTGGATACATGGGCGCCTCCAGGCTACCAGGTGGCGTCAGGAAGACCAGCTACGTGAGCTGATTCTCTACCCTGCCCTCTGCTATCCTACCCTTTCGCCCCCTCCCGACGAAGCAGCTCCTCGCGCAGCTCATTCCGTCACCCAACACATGAGGCGTTCCAGAAAAGGGCCTTGCCTTCGGGGCCTTAAAGGGTTGGCATCTCATCCTCGGCAGGAGGCGGCGGAAGTACAACGGGTCCGCCTCCGCCGTGGCAAGGCGGCGGAAGCCGGCGAAGGTAAAACAGGTGCCCCCAAGAGATGACGACGTTTTTGTCGGGGAAACGTCAGGCTCGAGTAAGCCGGAACTCAGGTTTGCCGACGCTTCGTGACGTGGCGCGCCTTTGACTCTGACGGTCCAGGTTTCGTGGGATGTTTGCAGCGGGAGAGTTCGCGTCAGAATGCGGATTGGGTCGCGTCGTTTCCGCGATGGTTTCGGCGGGCCAGCCCGAGTCCCCCGAGCCCGAGCTTCACGTTTCCCCGAGGGCGGGGCCGGGGCTTCCGGGGCCCGCCGCACGGCTCCGAGCCTTTCCCGCTCGGAGGCCTGGAGGTCGGTGTGCCGCCACCGAGGGAAGATGATTCCGCTCTCGGCGATGGTGCTAAAACTCCTACCAGCCTGGGACATATCCCTGTCCCTGTGCTGGGCATCTCCTCATCACGATGCCAATCTTAGGGGTTCCCTTATTTTTTGAGGGCGGATCCCTAAGATTGTCATCGCCCTTGGGCGTGTCAATCTTAGGGGTAATTAGGGATACGTTCGAGGCTGGTAAGACTCGGGCTCCCACGGTGGGCGGGAGATGACCGCCGGCGCCAGAATCTCAGGAGCAGCTTCCCCTGGTGGATGGCGACCCCCTGTTTGGGGTGTTGGTGCCCATGTTCGGGCCTCTGAGCTCGGGCCGGACGAAAGGGGGGGGGGATCGGGAAAGGGGGGGGGGGTACGAAATCTGCTGCGTGCGGCTGGCTGCGGCCCCGCCGCCGGGCCCACTCCTCGACACATCGGGCGCCGGGAGGCGCCGGGAACATCGGCCGCGTGAGCCGAGTCTCTACCCCGCCCTCTGCTATCCTACCCTTTCGCCCCCTCCCGACGAAGCAGCTCCTCGCGCAGCTCATTCCGTCACCCAGCACGTGAGGCGTTCCAGAAAAAAGGGCCTTGCCTTCGGGGCCCTTAAGGAGTTGGCATCTTACCCTCCTACAAAGTCGGATCGGGATAACTCGAAATCTCTGAGAATCGGCGGGTTTGGAGGATGTATTGGGCGCCGCGGCCGCTCTTGAGAGCGCTCCGGAACGCTCTTGAGAGCGCTCCGGAACGCTCTGGAGCGATTTATCCCGATCCGCTAGCCCTGTTTTAACTATCCTCTCGTCCCCCCCGACGAGCCGCCGCCGCAGCCGTTGTGGCAGCACATGCCTGCCTTGCCCCTGCGCGGCGCGGCCGCCCAGCGGGCGCCCGGGGCCGCCCCCGGGCGCGGGCATGGGCTGCGCCCACGGGGGCCCCGGGGGGAGGCCGCCCCCCGCCGTGGACCCGGGGAGGCCTCGAACGTCGAGCAGTGGCGAGGCGCCCTGGCGTGCCCATAGGGGAAAAGTCGGGGACAGTGTTTCAATTATGGGGACAGTGTTTCAATTATGGGGACAGTGTTTCAATTATGTTTTCAATTATGGGGACAGTGTTTCAATTATGTTTTCAATTATTGTAAATTATGGGGACAGTGTTTCAATTATGGGGACAGTGTTTCAATTATTGTAAAAATATGTTTTCAATTATGGGGACAGTGGTTCAATTCTCCGTAAGGGCTTCGCCCCCTGCCGCCGGCCCCCTCTCTCGGAGAATGGGCCATGGAAGAGCTAAGTCATGAGGCCTTGGCGCTGTCGTGAAGCAGTATCGAAACTTCATGCGAAGCCGATTCGCAATCAGCAAAACCAACTGATCACAAGAGGGGTTACCACACCTGGCGATTGGTAAGACGTCTATGGTTTACGGGCTTGGTTGCCACACCTTGCGATTAGAGGGCCGAGGGAGTTCTCGCAGTTTGGGTTACCACGCCTTGCGATGGATGTGCGTGAAGGGTGGCACCGAATTTCAGAAATGTGGCAAATCCCATGTGTTTTTGGACCCTGACCCCGCGGATCTGCGTGAGGGGTGGCACCGAATTTCAGAAATGTGGCAAATCCCCTGTGTTTTTGGACCCTGACCCCGCGGATCTGCGTGAGGGGTGGCACCGAATTTCAGACATGTGGCAAATCCCCTGTGTTTTTGGACCCTGACCCCGCGGATCTGCGTAAGGGATGGCACCGAATTTCAGAAATGTAGCAAATCCTCTGTGTTTTTGGACCCTGACCCCGCGGATCTGCGTAAGGGGTGGCACCGAATTTCAGAAATGTGGCAAATCCTCTGTGTTTTTGGACCCTGACACCGCGGATCTGCGTGAGGGGTGTCGATTTCGAGCCCCCCCAGCAATTCAGACAACGCGCCCAGGGGACGCTAAAAAGCCACTTTGGGCCTCCCCCCCCTCGCGCGGTCAATCAACTAGTTACAGTAACCAGCAATAAGTCAACTAGTTACAGTAACCAGCAAGAAGCAGAACTGCAACACTGGAAACTACAACCTACGACTGGTACAGGAAACTGCGAATCACCGGCCTACAGCCTGGTGGCCCCACAAGGGGGCCGGCGTTTTTTTTTTTTTATTTCGGCGGCTACACGTAAGAGTGACCCTTCGCCGGAGTGACCTTTGGTGCTTGCCCAAAGGGGGTCGGATGATTTGTCTCGTGAACTGAGCTGGGCCTCGCGTCGGCGCCCGCATGGCGCGACTACGCTCGCATCTGAGCGCGCCAGGTTTGGGCCCACCCCTTGCCATCGACAGCAACGCATACGCGTCGCACCCTGCAGCTTGCGTTGGTTACCCGGGGGAGAGCCGGTCGACCCGACTGCGCTTTTTCCGGCCCAGGACCGGTCCCGAATTCAGTCCAGCCCAAATGCGAAAACGTTGGTCTTGAATATCTGTGGATATCTTTGAATATTTTTGGATATGTTTGAACATGTTTTTCGAACCAGTGGGGATCTTCACTACTATAAGTTCTCCAAAGATATTCAAGCATGTTGCTGGCTCTCGGATGGGGCCTGTTTTGGCCCTGCCCCTGGGCCTGGTCAGACGTCATCGCGATGCAGCCCGGCAGTGCCAGACCTCCTGGCGGTGGCCTCCGGCAGCGTCTGTTTGCGCAGCGCCTCCGAAGTGCCATTTGGGGCGCTCGACTTCAATCGGCGGACTTCCGCGGTTGCCCGCTGGCACAAAACATCTTTTGGGTGGCGCCCCGCCGATCTATGATGCGGCACGGCAACGCCGGCTTTCGCGATTGCGCTGGGCCCCCACGGGCGCCCCTGAAGCTGCGCACCAAAGGTCACTCTATTCCAGGGTCACTCCTGCGCGTAGTCGATTTCGTCGAAAATCACCCTGTCGGAGGACATGCCCAGCTTAACTATAGGCCCACCGGAGAATGTGCTAAGAACCCTGTGTAGTCTGCACGAAATGCTCGTAGCACATGTCTGGCTGGGGGTGCCCTGTTTCAACGCGTCGGCTTCACGTTCTACAAACACTGCTCTTGTTCTGGGGAACGCTGCTTGGTTATAAGAACTTGTTGTGGTAGGCCTATCAGAATGCCGGGGCGGTCGGTCCCTGCCCGCCTCTGGCCGTGGACCCCGGGGAGGGCCCGAACGCATGTCGCAGAACGATCGGGTCCGGGGCCAAGTCGGGCCTGTCCCCCTACAGGAGGAAGTTTCAAGAGGAGTCCCCACATAAGCTGGGGAGGATGTTCCGACTATTGTTTTACTCTATTTGGTGTGTTTGACTACTCCAGGTCTCTCAATAGGCGTGGGGGGGTGGATCGCGTGGGGGGATGGGAAATCGCTGTCCTTCGGGTGGCGTGGGGAGGTTGAGGAGCGAGAGGGGGTGGGTTTGGGGCGCGTGGGGGAGCGGTTAAGGGGCGCCGCACAGATTAACACGGGGGGGGGGTTGAAGGATGTGGAGTATGTTGTGCTTGCCCCCCGAAGCCCGCCTGTAGGAAGACACGCCCGAGGTGTGTCGCCTCCCGCAGTGGACCCTGGGAGGACTCGAAGGCGTCGCGGAAAGACCGAGTCAGACCGCATAGTAGGATTCAGTCGAGCCTGTCCCTCTACAGGAGGAATGCTTAAAAATAGTAAAAAAATAGTCTGGTGACGATGTGCTGATTTTTCTGCTATTTTTGAATATGGTTGAAGATTTGTTTATTGTTCCAAAAAAATCCGCCTGTAGGGGGACACGGCCTACCTAAGCATAGTAAGGAGGGGCAACCGTCCCAAGGGTAGCCTTGCATCCTTGCCGCTTCGGCCCAACCGTAGCGACTTTGGCTCGGCAGTCCCGATTCGAAAAACGTTCATACATGGGCCTCTCCAAGGCCCCTGCATCCTTACCGCACATCCTTCTGACAGGGGGTCGACTGTAGGGTGTCTAGGGTGAAGTCGGGCCTGCCCCTCTACAAGAGGAGTATTCAAGAATCGTCCAAAAATAGTCTGGGAACGATTCTGCTATTATGTTGTGGCCATTCTTGAGCAGCCTTAACTATTTTCATTATTCCAAAATCCTCCTGTAGGAGGACATGCCCGACCTAAGTCTTATGTTGCTCCCATCCGACGCAAGGACCGAATCCCGGAAACAACTTCGAGCACCCAAAAAACTCTCGAAACAGTGTCGAACGAGTATTGCCTCTCAGGGCCCGACACGTGAAAGCCCTCCACCTTCGGTATTTCCCCGGTGCTCGAACTTCTTTCTGGTGGTCAAGACTAAAGCAGGTTGGAACATCATAACCTAAAGCTAGGTTCTGGTCGTGGTTGTTCGCGATGTTGCAGGTCGTTCGCGAGGCCGGATCTCAGGGTCGCAGGGTCGGGGGTGGACAGAACCCCCAACAGTGACACGTCGATTAGTGAATTGTTCGTTTTCGGTTCTCGAGAGGGCGCCGTGGCCGTTATTTTCCAGGCTTGCGCCCGCCAGGTTTGGGCCTCAGGTCGTTTTCACTAAACCACGTTTTACTAAAGGGAGGTCTTTCCATCCCCGACAGGGGAGGCTCGAGGTCCTCGGGCTGGGCCGTCGGCCCGGGCTTCCGACGCATTTTTTTTTGTTCCTTGCGGGTCCTTGCGGCCTGCCCCGCCCAGCGCAGTCCCGGGGGGGGTCGTCCGGGTAACCATCGCTCCTCGTTCCGTTCCCCTGCCCCTTCCTCCTCTTCACCCTCCTCCATGCCTCCTCCTCCTCCTCCTCCTCCTCCTCCTCCTCCTCCTCCTCCTCCTCCCTGCCTCCTCCTCCATCCTGCCTCCTCCTCCTCTTCCTCCTCCTCTCCTCCTCCTCCCTCCTCCTTTGCATTCCTGCCTCCCCATTTGCGCAAGTACACAAGGCGAATACTGCTCTCCTCTCTCCCCTGATGACGTCCAGAAGATGTTCGGCCCCCTCAGCATACGGTTATTTTACACAGGATTCCCGGTAGTGGGGTTTTCGCATGTGTTTGCTTGCAAGATGTTGCTCCCGCTGTAGCGCTGGCCTCATTGTCGGGCTTCGCTCGTTCCGAATCGTGCTCTCGTTGCAGCGCTGGCATCATTTCCGTCCTCCCGCTCGTTCCGAATCGTGGTCCCATTGCAGCGATGGCGTCTTTATTTCCAGTGTCATGCCACGACGTGCAATGAAATGCTACGAGGTGTTCCGCTGTGCGATGCCAGACCTTCAGCTGCAATGCTAGGATATGCAGTGCTTGACTACGCAGTGCCACGCCATGCTGTGCCATGCTACAGTTTGATCTTCAACGCCATGCTGTGCCATGTTCTGCTATGTGCCGCTGTGCGATGCCATTATTTGCGTTGTAATGCTTTGTGATGCAATTCTGCACGACGCCACGCCATGCTATGACATGCTACGCTCTGCCGTGCTCTTCTACGCCCCGTTATGCCCTCCTCTGCGATGCATCGCGCACCCTCGGGAGCACTGCCCTGCTCGACACCCGACTGTGCGAACAGAGAGGAGGTCTGTGCCACGGTGAGGGATGGGAGGGAGGGGCGGGACGTCAGACATGACGCGAGCGCACCCTTCCTCCTCCTCCTTCCTTCTCCTCCTCCTCCTTCCTTCTCCTTCCTCCTCCTCCTTCCTTCTCCTCCTCCTCCTGCCTTCTCCTCCTCCTCCTCCTCCTCCTCCTTCCCCTCCCACCCTCTCTCCTCCTCCTTCCTCCTCCTCCCCATGGGCGCTTGGCGGCTGCCTGGCTGCACTGGAGGAAGAGCCCAGACCTCCGAGGGATGTGTTGCTTTTTCCCGGCGCGTTCTCCCGTGTGGTTTCGGTTCCCAGGGGCCGTGTGCGGGTTTGGGGGCCTTCAAAAGTGCATCAGGGACGACAGTTGCTCTCGGGCCAGACCAGGGATCGGTGGCCGCGGATTGGAATAACCCGATCGTCGGATGCCAGAGAAGGGGCCGATGGGGACGCTTTCCCCGAGATGCCATTGCTCGAAACGTCGGATGGCGGGGTTCCCCTTGTTTCGCTCTTGCTGGGACTCCGAGTGGTGCCTCTCCTCGCCACGGCTGGAGTCGCCTCAGAGCTCTGGCCGAGCGCGGCCTCGGGGAGGTGCGGGGAAATCGGCAGGCCCAGGACGGGGATGGATCGCTCCACAGCGCTCCAGAACGCCCTCGCAGCGTCTCCGAGCGCTCTGGAACGGCCGCGGCGCTTCAGAACTGCCAGCTCTCAGAGGTTCATGGCATGGATTCATCCTGGTCTGCATGCGTCCTTACCCCGTCGTCGTCTGGATTATTTTCTGTTCCCTGAGGACCAAGGGCCCTCGTCGATACACCCCTGGTCCAACGATGACCAGTCGGGTGCGTGGGACACGCCTCCGGACGAGGACCCGAGGGGAGGAGAGGAGAGGCTCAGGGACGTCGTTCATGTGGGCTTGTCACCGCAATGTCCCTGGAGGCCTCGAAGCGAAGCATGAAGAATCGCACAGACATGATGGTCGGAGGACAGCGCAGATTTCCCGGATCCGCGCCGAAGCCCCCCCAGCGGTGCCTCCAGCGCCGCCCCTGTCGCGCTGCGCGCGCCATCGACGGGCATCTGGCGCCAATCCACAACATCGGCGCGCACCTCCGAAATATTGTATTTCTCTATACAGTTGTTGTGGTTCTGCCCCTGATGCCTACGGATACCCAAGAAGGGCCAAGTGTGTACATCAGCCACGATCCTCGATCTGTGTGGCCTCCAGACGCAGATCCTCGTTGCCGTCTTGTTTGTTGGTCGCGGCGAAGACCCTTGGGCGTCCCGACCCCTTCCCCGGACAAGTTTTTCATACCGAGTCTTAAGTCGGGCCTGTCCCTCTACAGGAGGCGTATTCAAAAGTAGTCGAAGAGTAGCCTTGGGGCGATTGTTTTGATCACTGTTGGTGCATTTTGGAGCAGTTTTGGTGTATTGTTTGTTATTTTGTGCCTGTATGGGGGACATGCCCGACCTGAGACGACGACCGAGGAAACGGGACCGTTTTTTTGTGTTGGGGGGGGGGGTGTTCAAGATAATGATTGAATATGTTTTGATTGTTTTCCATGCGGTAGAGGGAAACAATTACTGAACACTCCCCCTCCCCCAAACTCAATGTTGGCACGCGCGGAAAACACTGCTGTCGAAGTGCATCTCATCAGACCCACTGCCAACTTTGAACATTGGGGGGGGGGAGGCGTTGACAGATGAATTTGGCATGAGTGTTCGCTAATTTGTTCCGAGGCCTGTCTGTCGTCGAAGATCCTCCTGCGGGAGGACGTGCCCGCCCCACTTCCGAGCCGACCCTTGGCGGCCCGGGGGCTCCAGCAGGGTCCCGCGGGCGGTGGCCAGGAGGAGCCTTGTCGTCGTCGTCGTCGTCGTCGTCGTCGTCGTCGTCGTCGTCGTCGTCGTCGTCGCTGCGCGGGGCGAGCCTTGGGGAGGAGGCGACGCGCGTCTTCTACGAGATGGCCGTGAAGAGGATGACCAGGATCGGAGACTGCAACCCATACATTGCCAGTGAAGGGCGGCTTCTGAATCCCAGGATGTTTGTAGGGTCGGGGACGACATCGGGGCGGTGTGGTGTATACTTGTTACCCCGCTTTCCCGAGGAAACAGTGGAAAATGTATACATCAGGATTCCGTATACACCAGGATCCGCGTTCCTGTGCGAATTCCAGCGCAGGGTCGGAAAAAGCGTCGGTGTGTAGAGCTCGTTTTCCCAGGGAGATGCAGAATCCAGAGAGGAAACACCACCCGGACCGGACACTTGGCGTTTACTAAACGGCCCTGGGCGTCTACGAAACAGCCCTGCCCTCTTCGATTCCTTCGTTGGGCTCGTTTACGAAAGGCCTCTCGTGTCGGGGTGGTTCTTGTCGGGGTGGATTTTCTGCCCTCTAAGGAAGATGAAGGACGTCCAGAACGAGAGCGAGTCTCCAAAGGTCGGAGGGACGACCAAGTGTGCACTGAGCATACGAGTCCGGAGTTCCGCACAGACTTCTCGGGTCGGCGCTGGACCCCCCGGGGCGATGCCTCCAGCGCCGCTCCTGGCGCGCTCCGCGCGCCTGGCAAGGGGGTCAGCGCCGCCCTGAGAAACTTGCGCGGACCTCGTAAATCCTAAAGCTAGGACTCCTTGTGTCGCATGTCGCGCCGCTGGGACCGGCGCACCACGCGTCGGCGCGACTCGCTATCATGATTTCCGGTGCTTGCAGACCTCCAGTGCCACACGTTTCCCGCTTCTTACCAGCCTCGAACGTATCCCTATCCCTAAGATTGACACGCCAAAAGGCGATGACAATCTTAGGGACGCGCCTTGAAAAACTGAGGGAAACACAAAGATTGGCACTGTGATGAGGCGATGCCCAGCTTAGGGATAGGGATCTGTTCCAGGCTGGTACACCTTGGGCGATGCTTAAGAAAACTTGAGTTTTCGGCCAGAGTCTCGATCATTCTTAATATTTCAATGTAAATCCTAGGATTTTGATAGAAATTTGGGGTTTTTATTCGAGTTCTGAGACTATGAATTTCTTAACCCATGATTTCTTAAGCATTTCGCAGGGTGTAAGCTTCGGATGCAGCTTTTGGTGGCCACACGCTTTTGGTGGCGACACGCCGCACGCGGGAAGGCCCCCGAGGTCCCACGCTGCGGAAGAACCTCATCTTTGTGAGGAACCACGGCCAGGGCCTTCGATCCCATCCTCGTGGACCGGGCCGGACGAAAGGGGGGGATTAGGAAAGGGGGGATGACGAGGTCTGCTGCATGCAGCTGGTTTCGGCCTCGCCGCCGGGCCCATTCCTCGATACGTAGGCGCCTCCCGGCGCCGGGAGGCGCCGGGAAAGTCAGCTACGTGAGCTGATTCTGAACCCCCCCCTTTGCTATCCCCCCCTTTCGCCCAACTCGAGTCGAGCATTTCTCGAGCCGGGTCAATCTAGGAGGGCCTCTGGGCCCAGACATCGGGCGGGAAGCGCCTCGCTGTGCAGAGGCACGAGGCTCGGCGACCAGCCCAGGGGGGAAACGAGAGGGGGCGGGCCTTCTCAGAAGGCTCGGACGTCACCCGGCCTTTTGAGGAGTTGTCTGAGCTTGCCAAGAGGGCACAACCACTTCTCGGAAGGCCGCCGGGCTTCGGAGGAGCTCCGCCGCCTTCTGGGAGGGTCTTCTCCTCCTCGCTGCCCCCCCCCCCCCCGCCCGCAGCCGAGAGACGCCCGGAGCTCAGGGTCAAGCCTTACGTCGGGCCTGTCCCTCTGCAGGAGGAATATTCAAAAATAGTGAAAAAATAGTTAGGGCAGGAGGAATATCCAAAAATAGTGAAAAAATAGTCAGGGGACGATTTTTGTTTTATATATATATATATATATATATTTGAGCATTTTTTGAGTATCACTTGAGTGTTTCTAATTTTTCGCCCAAAATCCCCCTGTAGGGGGGCAGGCCCGACCTAAGTCCATCCGGTTGTTGCTCCCTCCGGCAGGGCGGCGACGTGGTGGGCCGGCGACGCTCCGACGCGGTCGGCCCGCGGCGCTCCCAGGGCGTCGGCAGGGTGGCCTCCGTCAGGAGGGAGCACAGGGCCGAGGCCCGGCCGCGCCTGCGCTGGATGGGGCACAGTCGAGGCCGATGGCAAGGACGGGTGGCCTCAGGGGCACCCCTGGCATCCCTGCCTCCTCGGGTCCGTCCATGACCGCTTCCGATGGCCCGCCGCGCTCGAGGGAGCTTCAGCGCGGGGCTTCTCCAAGGGGCTTGCATCGTCATCGTGCATCCCGATTGTCAGCTTTGACTGTGTTCAAGCACGAGTGGGGATGACTGAATTTCCGGCGGAGCTTGCCCATGCCCCCCGCCCTCCCTCCTCCTCCTCCTCCTCTCCTCCTCCAAACCTCTCCCGCTCCCCCCCCCCTCCTCCCCCTCCTCGTCTCATCCTCCATCCCGCAGAGCGTTCCAGGGGTGCCCGAGTCTTCCCGAGCGGTGACTTTTCGCCAGAGCTGCCTCTGGCGCGCGGCTTCCGGGGCCTTGGGATAGCAGGAAGTCGCGCAGCTCCTCGCGCCAGGCGTCCGCCCGCAGATTCAGGCCGCGGGGCCCTCACACGTCGGACCGGCTCGAGAAATGTTGCGGGAGGGTCCGGGGGCGGCCACGAGGGGGGTGATGACTAAGGGGGGTGGATATCATGGCGTGGGCCATGCTATCTCCCCAGATTTCGCGGCGCCTCCTCTTATTTCATTACGTCCCTGACCCC